AAAGCAATATAAACAAACTGTGTAAATGCGGGTTTTTTCTAGAACTCATTTCCATTCTCGTGTACATTTGTTGGAAAAAGTTCTGGAAAGTCAACATTTCAAATCAAATGTATTCATATAAATAGAAAAAAATATTATTAGATTGCCAATTATTATTATAAATATTATCGCGCCGTAGTTTATTTGACATCGAGTTCTGAAAAAAAAAAAAAAAGAAAAAAAAGTTATAATCGAAAAATTAAATTTTTTTGCCGACTTAATAATTAATTCACGTTGCCGATAAATTGTACGTTTCCGCGTTCGTCAGTGGTAAAAAATATGAAAATTAACGTTACCGCTTGATTTATAATGTATGTTAATCGTCGATCGACGCGTGGTTTGAACACGGTCCGTCGACCGCGTAGGCAAACGGACGGACCGACGAATACGCACAACGGATAATAAGATTTGTTTACGTTTCGACGGTAATGTATGTAAACGATTTTTAACCGTTTCGCCGAAACGAGATCGGCGGGTCGCCGAGACAACGTTATTACCGCAATATTTGATAACCGCCGACAAGACCGTGTACGGTATGCGCGCGCGCGTACAATTTATGCGATTTGTCGCGCCGGACATTTGTCGTACCGCGTGCCGCTTCTGCCCGTTGAAAAACCGTTGACGACCGACCGGCAGTGCCGGACCACGCGCTGCGTTTGATGAATGATTCGTTTCGTGATTACCGATCGTAAAACACACGATCTTACGTTTAAAAAAAACATTAAAAAAATAATATTTGTTATCATTACGTATTATTATTATTACTCCGTTATTCGTTTCACCCATAGTGCCCCTACTCTTGCTTCTAGACGAGTTGACGGCTGACCTTTTATCAATGGTTTGATTGACGCGCAACACCTTTTGTCATCTGTATCCTTTCGTGTTCCAGCCTACCCCACTAGAAAGCACTTTATCTTTCAGGTTCCCTCTTCGTCGTACACCCCATAATGATAATACTACTCCGCACAAAATTATCCGCCACCTAACAGTTCGTAGTTTTTGGTCCCATCCACTTCTTACATAACAATTTTTCTTTTGTATACTCAAACCTGATTCTAAATATTATTGTTATTATTATGTTGTTGTTGTACATTTTTTTTCCTTCCCTATCACTTCATACGTACAGTTTTTGCTATAGATCATCATTCGTATTAATTTTTTAGATTTCCGTTTGGCGTTAAATAAATAAATATATAAAATTATAATAAACGTAAAATCTTACCAGAGACATTCTTGCGAGTCAACTAATCACGTGGATCTGGATGCGAAATCGAACTCGTTATAAGATAATCACGAATCGCAGACAAAAAAATAAATAAATAATACAGTGTCCGGGTTTTGTTGATAATATAACCATTATAACCCATCACTTTGCTGCACCATTATAAAAATATAACATTGGTAATGTGGTATGGGGCTCGTCACTGGAGCACCTTTTAATCAAATTCCTGGTGTTCGTGAACGATACTTGCTCGCCACATTAAAGTATATTGATGCTAACTTCACGTTTTTTATCACACCGATATTTAATAATATAATATTTCTACGCAACAAGTATATGTATGTACGGCCAAATAGAGAAACATTTAGACGAACGAACCGTAGCCAACAGAACGTACCTTTCCAACATCGTCATCTGGGCTTGGAAAATACGTAGAAATCCGAAGCAATGCATATTGTTTGCACATTAAACGTGATTTGTCATGGAAATATCGTATTTCCCAAGTGGAGACCCTACGAAAACGCGCGGTACGAGAATTAGCTTGACTGACGTCTATCATCCGTCGAGTAATCATAACTTTATTAACAAACAACACCGTGCCATACATCGAATAATTTATAACATGAATAAAAATACATGTATATAATATATACGTCGATGAGTTCATACTACACGAAATGCGAAAAGTCCATTTCCATTTTATGCAATGGTCAATTTCGCCAAGTGACTGTGACGTATAATACCCATACATATATTGACAACGGTATTCGCTGAAACATTCTCTATTATTATTATTATTATTATTATGTTCATAAAGTTTTTAATTGTGTTTTAAAATCCCGTATGCAATAGCAGACGCAATGCACACCGACCAACACGTGATTCGGATCCATTAAACTTTACGGTAGTGCATTACAAGATGAAAAAAATATGTGATTCCTATATCCCTATACATTTACTAGGTAAATATAGTTATTATTGAGTTTCGTCAATATTTTTTCATATACACATAAAATGGGATTATGAACACGCGAATAAAACGTAATTTTATCATTTGTTCGCACATTCAATTATTACATTTTTTTCAGCGATATTAATCTTCAGGCTACGATCAATTTTTGCAATAAAATGCAATTTCAATAAAATGAAAAAATTGCCATGTGACGACGTCCAGGGCTGTGCGTGTCCTTAGATTATTATTTCCTGTTTACTCTTGGAATAGTGAATTAAAATATCGAAATAATTGGACTTATACTTGTAGAATAAAATTAGTGTACATACGTTAAACTGACTTTCCTTTAAATTATCTTTATTGTGGGCAACCGTTAGTCTTCTTTCTTCCCCTCCCCTCGTATTTAATGGAATGTACGGGATGTACGAGAAATATAATGACTTATGCCTTATGGCTTTACGCGTATCTTACGTAATACGAAGTGTTGGTATATGGTTTCCTGTTAATATGATAAAATATAATAAGTGTTGGAAACCGTCGTGATATGGATCAATAGCGATAATAATATGCACAACTGATTGAGTAATAATTGTATGATTATTACAGGGTCAAATGTTATCGGTTATTAATGTATGCATCATTTGTCAATAAATTGAAAATATATATATATATATATATATGTATATATAGAAAGTTGGAACTTAGCGATTAATGTGCAAATAGAATAATATTCGAATCGGAAATATTAGCCTGAGGTGTACACGCGTGATCGTAGGTATAACTCTATCGTTCTCTCTCTGAGCTACGTATATGTAGGCAAACTACATGTATTTTATAAAGCTGACAAACTACGTATGTATGTTAAGGTAATTTATATTACTATTATACGACCTTTGAACAGAGCAAAAAAAAAAAAAATAATAATATTTAAATACATATCGAATCGACTTATTGGCTGACCTTAATTAATGATACAGTCATACAGTGCCATTAGTTTATTGTTGCAGCTTGTCTATGTACGGCTTTTAGTTATGAACATGGGACCAGAGACAAAATATATAACTGTAACTTAAACTCGCATTATTTTATCAATCGCTTCAGTGATAATATTGCTATTTAAAAATTAATAAGTAAGTAATACAACGAAAATAAGAATATTTAATTGTTTCAAAATGTGTTGTACAGTATATAGTAATTTTTTATTTGTATGATTAGTATTTTATTATGAACAAAGAAAATTACTACTATTGGTGGTGGCCATATTAAATAATTATCATTGTTTTTGTTTTTGTTCACTCATATCTGAGCGTTTGACGTTATTATTATTACATTGCATAATAAAAATATTTTTATCATCAAATCAGTGTATACATTTTCTGTTCTTAAATATATGATATTTGTTCAGTTTCATTTATTTTTTTCATCATTTATTGAATATTTAAAAATCAATCATCATAATCAACCGTCATAATATTTTAATATCTTAATATCTTCACCAATTTCATTGAATTACTTAATAATAATGATATTAAATTTATAACAAATTAAATCCAAAAATGAACAGTGATAAGAAATTTTATTCGTACAATATTATAATACATATAAGATAAGTTTATCCACGCAAACATTATATGAACAATGTAGTCATAATGAATTTCAAAAATAATTGAAATTAACCAAAAATTAATTAAATATGACAGTAACGATGACGTTTTTTTTTTCATGGTAATTACGTTTTAATAAAACATAAGTACTATGAAAGTTTCATGTATTTAACTCTAAATTGGAAAACGATGACGCAGATTATAGTACTTCCAAGAAAACATTTTTTATCGCTGTAAAAAGCGGTGATATGCCTGTCTTTGACAAAATCAATTTCAATTCAAAAAATAATAATACTAGAGGTTTATACATTTACTGATTGTTTATTATAGAATTTCAGAAACGTGATGTAATTTTCGAAAAATTACAATTCATTTTCAATCCATAGAACGTTAAGAATTTAAAACATTATTTCGTAAAATTATACCGATTTTGGAACTTTAAATTACTAACAGCATTATGATATAACTTTAATAATAATTGTTTGTAAACTATACCAAAAACATGGTAGATTTCAGCTATGTTTAAATTTTTGTAATACGAGTACACAACTAATAATGTTGAAAACATCAAAAATATACTTTATATAAAACAATTTAACATGTCCAACATACTGTACAACAAATGTACTGAATTCTTAAAATGAGACACGAAAAGATTATTTAGTTTCATCCATAAAAGTTATACTGTCATAAATCATATATTTTTTTTTTTTTACGTGTACCATATGTTCATAACTCAATAATTTATTATAATCTTAACGCGTTGTTACGTATTTATTTTATATTAAAATATAATATTCTATTTATTGAGTTTGATAGTTATTGCTCTGATACGCCAAGGTCATTGAAACTCTTTTAAGATACTTAAGCTGTACTAATTATATTTAAGATTTTGATCTGGATGATGATTTTTAATAAGTGAATGTTTTTTAATATATTTGGTGGTCAACTATTCTAAAATTGTATCCACTTTTTGCCAACCATTTCTATATTTTTTTATTTAAAAATGTAAAAATATCAATAATATTTTAATTAGGTCTGTATTATTAAATACTTTATCATCACACTAATTACTGCTAAGCTTAAAATGGTTTATATATTAGTTTTTTTTTTTTTTTTAGTTTGCCTTTGTTCGTATATTACAGCAAAATATATTTTAGTTAAATTAATTTTTTTCAAAATTAATAATGTGAAATTCGAGTAAGTACCAGATCGGATATCCCATTCCCTATAATTTAATTAAGTACACTTTAAAGTGTTATTTAGTAAAAAAAATAAATAATTCTAACAGATATAATTGAAAGTAATAAAAGTAATGTATGATTAAGTAGTACGAGAAATTACGACCAAAATTTGAATGTCAATGTTGGATATGATCATTGTCGTCTCAAGGTAAGAAGGAAGCAAATCAAATAGGGCAAGTTACCTAGGACGTTCAAAGTATTTGAGTTAAGGGGACTTCATAAAAGGTAATGAGAGTATAAATAGAAAAATTCGGAGTTATAATTTATATAGGTATTAATTTTCCTTTTATATTGAAATATCTACGATGAGTATATATCAAATTGAAAATTATATTCTATTAAATATGAAATAATATATTACACGCCTACAATAATATATAAATATTACCAAACGATAGACTATTATAAATACATTATTAATAAATCATGAAATAAATTATCAATTTTACTGATTTCTATAAATAATTTGAATTCAAACAATTTGGTAAACAAACATAATTTATCAATAATGACACATCATAACCTACACAAAAATGCTAATTTTGTAACCCTAAGGTATTATTGGTAATAAAAACTTACCAAATATGATTATTGAATTATTGGATAAAATTATTTATATTAATAAAAATTATACATTGATGTATAAAATATAGAAATATTAAATGCAATTTACTTTTTAAAAAGATCGCTAAGTTAAGAACAAGTGTGCTGTTTATATTTTATTCGTATAAAGATATGGCTAAAGTTATAAAATGTTTAAAACGTATACTAGAGAGAACCATTTTATTTGTATATAATTATAATTTACATTTTGTTTTTTCCGGTAAGTTATAATTAATAAACACGGAAGTTCATATTATTATAATGTAACATAAATGTTATTATTGTGTTAAATAATCGAACCGATTAATTGAATGCAGGTAGTTACAAATTTTAAAACAAAAGTAAAAAGGTAAGTTGTATTTATTATTCAAGAGCAGCATATATTTTTGTCTGGTAAACAAAATATAATGTATGCATCATAAAACGAACTTAACCATTTTCTGGGCCGTACAGCTAGAGTCTAACAATAGGTATTTTCGTGGCAATAAACCTAAACTGTGCACAATAAAAAAGAAAATACAAAATTGAAATTATAAAAAAAAAAAATTTAAAAGCACTAAAATTAGAATTCAGAAATTAATTCCTAATATGTTGCTTAAAAAAACGATTTTATAATATAAAACTGTAATCACATCATTTTTGTTTTTTCTTACCAAATAAAGTTATCACGACTTAAACAATTTTTTTTTTTTTGGTTTTTAGATAACATTTTCGATTGCTTTAATTTCATTGCATTAAATTTTAATTTGTTTGACTTGTAAAATATGCGCAATTATTGAGAGTCTGTATCGTCTAAATATTAGAATGCCCATGACACGATTATGTTTATTATTGAAGCGATGAATTGGGTGATTCCGTTGGTCATAAGCTACTTGATAGCACGAAACGATGCGGATTTATTTAATTCAGAAGATGTGTATAGTAGCTTGGCATTGGTTTTCGATACGACAGGGTCCATGAAAGATGATTACCAGCAGTTGAAATCGCACGCGGAAGGCATAATGCGTCACGTTCTGACCAGAAACGACTCCGACATCAAGCACTTCGTTTTCGTACCATTCAATGATCCAGGTATGGTCGATGCAAACATATTCTATTACATTTTATTACATTTAGTGGTTCTCGTTGCAACATATGTATAAACATGTCTAATCTCTGGACACAAATTCAAAAATGTTGCAGTTCGATGAGAATATTATTTTTTCGGGATAATAATCATCTTTGGTTGAGGTGAGTTTCCGAATTGTATTTGGAAACCGATCTCTGCCGAGTAAAATTACATTTTATTTTAAAATATCCGACCTCGAATCGGTTGCTTTCCAAAATTTTGATTTATCTCAGAAAATGTAGAACTTCAAATACGAATTCAAAATGTGTTTTGCTATATTTTATTATGGCCAAATCAAATCAACGAAAATAATTATTTCACATTTTGTATATCATAACATAAAAATTTAAATCTTATTTCATTTATTTTTTATGAAAAATTTACTTTTTTTATTTTTTAAACAACAGCATTGATATATTATTTCATAAATAAAATGTTTCTTATAAAAAAAAAAAAAATAAAAAATTGGAACAGATAATATTTTGTTCGACAAAATATATTATGACCCACTTACATGTAAAATGTAATTTTATACAAAATAATATTATAATTCTGTTATTTTTGTACATTTCATTTCTTTCATCATACTTCAATGTATATTTTACGATTATAGTCAACAACTTCTGCTCATGAAAGGTACTCAAGGAACTCACGCAACCCACTGTATGCATTATAATATCATTTTTATATGTATTCAAAGTAATTATATTATCATTAAAGGTTATTATATTAAAAAAATATATAATGCTTACCGAATAATGGCGAATGCTCGAAGTCCAAGAAAAAAAGAATAATATGAACTATAGGGAATTATTTGTGTAAAATGATCATTTGAGTGTATAAGTTTCGGCGTTGACTAGTTGGGTCCCGAACACCCTTATTTAGTCCAGTTGGGTCCCACGATTTTACAAGTGCTACTTTAGTTGAGTCCATACAAAAAAAAAATTTTCCTTCTTATTTTCACATAAGACTGTCAATTATCTATAAATTAGAACACAGGTAAGATTTTTTTTTTTTTTAAGTTTCTAATACATGGTGTATAATAATTAATTGAAGATTAGAATACCGGTATATGATAAATTAATTAATTAAATTATTAAAAAATTAAAAAATGTACAATTGGTAAAAATATAAATGATAGAGCTAGTTTTAGACAAACTAAAATCTATTCATTTTTTAACATTATCAAGTGTGTCAATCCTTATAAGTTACAGGTTTTATTAACGTAGTGGTCGAACAAATCTAGTATGGTTTTTATAGTCGGACTGAACTCGTATTTTATCATTTTTATAATTGGACCCAATTAGTTGTTTATCTTTATCATAAATATTATTTGGAACCCAACTCGGATACGCCCGTAAGTTTATCTCATGGGACCGCTTACTTGTTCATCATTTTTTATGATCGAAATTCCTAAATTTATAATCACCTATAATTTTACACGTTTAACATAATTTATATTACGTTAACTATAAAACTGAATCGTGTTTGAAAAACAATTTAGCAACAATTTTAACAACAAATTAGCTACCAATCTGCTCACAATTTTGTATTTTAAATATATAAATAACAGTATGTTATACTATAAGTAATGCTATTTTCATTTTTCATTATTTTGAATAGATGTGGGACCAATGACGGAAACCTTTGATCCAAACGTCATTATGTACAAATTGAATAGAGTAGCGATAAAAGGTGGCGGAGACTGCGCAGAAATGGGTATTACAGCAGTGGTGCAAGCATTGAAAATCATAAAGCCTAACTCGTATGTTTACGTATTCACCGATGCATCAGCTAAGGATACATATTTAGTTGATGAAGCACTCGAATTAATCCAAAGGAAACAATCACAAGTAATTGACAAACAAACAAATTGTGTACAATTCATATTCTCAAATCAAACTCCTATTAGGTTTATGGACACTTATGTTTTATGATGTGGATTCAATGAATATCATTATTTTAATATTTCATTTCTAATAGTTGTGTGAATACTAAAAAAAATTTGTCTACTACAGTTTTAATGCTTTAGTTTTGTTTTCAATCACGTTGATATAATTGGGTACCCTCCAAAAGTAGATCAATCAATCGACTTAAAATTGAAAAGAAACATTAACAATATTAAAAGCGTTTTTACAAATTTCCAAGTTTTCATAAAGAAATTTACCTTATGTTAAAAAACGAAAATTAGGAATAAATACATTTCCAATAAAAATTATTTCATCTAATGCAGAAAATATTAAATTCAAATTCGGTTAAATATTTTAATTCATATTTTATTTTTTTTTAATATTCTAAAAATTAGTACAGATTTCTTGATAAATACGAATAACAAACCGATTCATCTATTACTAGTTATGATCTAACTTGTTTTTACACTTACTTGTCTTTTCACTATTTCAAATTAAATGGTAATGATATATTAAAATCTTAAGTTAAAACAAATTAAAATTAAATAGAATGTAAAATACATAATATTACATGGATAAATTAAATATTGTAAATACATAATGTATAAATCTATACATCTGGTACTTCGTAATAAATTGCTACTTACAGATATTCCTAATCAGATACTCATTCAACCCGATTGATGTGTGTCAGCTTGTCATTGTGCACTTTAACTAGAACCGATTAAAAAACAATTCGATTTTTTGTCCATGAACAAATACAAATTCACTATTAGTTACAAATGCAATACAAACTTTTGCTTCAAGTTATAAATGTTTTATTCTTACAATTATATTTCATTTACGCGTTTTGGTAGTTCATAATACATGATATTTAAGTTGAAAAACTTAGAATTTCATCACTGAAACATAATAGTTAATGTTGTGTATAATACATAGACTTCATGTAAAGACTTACTCTTTATAAAAATCCAGTTGTTTATGATTTTGTTTGTACTTATTTATGGTTTTAAATGTATAGCGTAGTTACACTATAAACTGTATAATATATTTTTAAATAATAAAAATTGTGCCTAGGTTTTCGTTCTGAAAACAGGAGACTGTGACTCTTCGTCGGACAATAGTTACCAAACTATAGCATTAGTCGGGTCAGGTAACGTGTTTGACGTCAATAAAGGAGACGTGTCGAAAGTACTAGAGTTGGTTAACAAATCTATGGACACTAACAAAGTGAATTTAATGTCTGTTAATATTGGTCAAAGCCAATTGAGCCCGTCTCCTAAAAAGCTGAACATCGACGAAAGCATTAAAAATCTTCAGGTTTCGGTGTCGGGTCTCAATTGCAATATTGATTTAATGAACCCTGCGGGTAAAAAAATGGACGAAGCTCAAGGATTGATGACCGAGTTAGACCTAAAGAATGTAAAAATCGTTAATGTTCTGGCAAGTATATTTTAAATATAGTAAAATCATTTTTCATATACTCAGGGTTTTTGTATTTTATTTCAATGAGATAAATTTATATTATAAAATGTTTAAGTCAGTTAAAGTCACCGGTTTTGTCATATACTATGTACGAATACATATTTTTTTTTTTAAGGAACCCATACCCGGGGAATGGACTTTATACGTAACTAGTGAGTCTGCTCATTCTATTCGTGCATGTGGAGTCAGTTCTAAGAATTTTAATTTTGGATTTGCTACGGCTAAACCAAAAAATATGACACAGACCAGTCATAGACCATTAAAAGGTAAATTTATATTTTAATACGAACTGAATAAAAATAAAAAAATGTAATAAAAACTAAAATGGCTAAATACAAATTGATACCCACACATTATTGTGTATCACATATCACATTATACATAAAGTTAAACATGTTTTAAAAATTATTATGAAAATTATTAATAAGAATATTTCAAATTAACGTGGTATATTTCAACGAATCTTCTTATTCGTAAAACATATCACTCAAACGTGTGGTTAAAATACAAACATTTGTTCTAAAATTTGTATACAAATAATTTCAATCATGTTTTATTTTTCAAAAATATATGATTAAAAAATATACACACCATTTTGATAAAAATGAGAAAAAAATGTGTTCTATTCTATGATTAAGTTTTTAAAAAATTGAATTCATACTCATATCCGCATCATACATTATTAATCGTATATCATACGAGTAAGATGAAAACTTTTCGGCTACTGTTTGAAATACATAATAAATAGGTAGGATAATCTTCTGGAACAACAGTGGGTGTAAAAAATTAAAAAGCCACTTGATTTATATTTAATGTATATGCTAATTACTAACTATTTACCCTATTTAGTATGTACTAATTACTCAACTATTGTAATTCGTAATTGATGCATCACATGCAAATCGTTCCATTTCAGGTGCTAACAATTACATATTAATCGATTGTCCCGACGTTACGAAATTCATATCTTGTAAAACTCAAGACTTATATAATGAAAACAAAACATATTCCTTACCAATTCTGGAACTCGAAAAACACAATATGTTATTATGTGGTCCGTTTCTACCTAACAACAATCCATTTTACATCCAGGTGAACACATACAATTTATTTAAACGATACAAATATATTTTACTTATATTAATTCCATAAACGGTTGCAAGTACTATATGAATTTCACTTTGTCATAAAACATTTAAACACACAATGCACTTTTTTCATTACTACACGTGGTGTATTATACTGTTAATCATAGGTGTTTGGTATGAACAGCAACGGCCATTATTTCAGACGTATCACTAAAACCAGCATTATTCCCGATGAACCAGGTAAGTCTCAATTATGTGTTTATAAAAATATAATTATTGCTTTTCAACAAATATCTATGGGCAATTGTACTATTTATCCTAATCGTCCGTATACAGATGCGCCGTACATAAACACTCCGACACAAATCACCGCTGTGGTTGGCGGTGAACTGCGTATTAAGTGTCGTGTCGAATCGTTGGTGCCGTTCACGGTTTCGTGGATAGGATTTAACTGTCCGCGACAAACCTGGAACTTTAGGTAGGTACACTCAATGTATTGAAAGTGTCAACATAAAATGCATAAACAGATGAGCAACTAACGAACGGATATTACTTATGCGTTATTTTCGCAGTCGATTAACAAAAAAATGTTTCTAAATGTATTTCAGCCAAAGTTCCGAAATCGAATTAGTGATACGCAACGTGACAGAACAATTCAATGATATTTACACTTGTAGAGCTCGAAATATTGCCGGAAATGCGGAATCTACGACTAACGTTACCGTAATATGTAAAACAAATCATAATTAATGATCTAATTTTGGTATTTATTTTTGTGTATGCATTTATCACATATTAATACATTCCGTAATAACATGGGTGGTATAATAATAACCTTATTTGTATGTTTTCAAATATGATAACAATATAAACGTACAAAACATATTTAAAGAGATAAAAAGTTGACGAAAAATTAAAATGCAAATAACATCACTAAATCGAATGGTTAATATTGAAAAAATATTTTTTTCCTCGTAAAAAAAAAATATAATACAAAATGAGAAAACAGATGGAACATACAATTTTATTTGATTCTGTTTGATAATATATTATAGTTTATAGTAGGTATTGCATTTAAACATACAAATATGAATTAAATAAACTTAAAAGCTCAAATAACTATACAACCTCGTTTTTGCTTTCAACGAAAATATCGTGTATGATGTACCGTAACAGTGACACACTTTTTAATATGATTTATACATATTATTTAATGGGTGTATCATATCCGTTTGATATATTTCATTATTTTAGTATATTAATAATACGGATAGTTAAAGTATGGATTATTTCATAAAATATACACTCGATATATCGTTGACTATACAATAGAAAATTCATACATACATTAGTTCACTATTTAAATAACATTTTTTGAAACTAGTATAATATTTGTTGATCATAATATAATTCCTATTTATTTTCCAATGTATGCATGAGCTTGAATGGTTTATATGTATTAAACAATCATTGTTTATACGCTGATAAAATACTCGTAATTCATAATCCACTGTTCTTGCTACAATAATATTACATATTAACTAAACTATATTGAACGATCAAATATACTGAAAAGAACAATTTTGAGCACTGAACAATAAAAATAAATAAAACTTAAAACTGTTATATAAAAAAAACCCACTTATGTAATATAAAACTTCATTATCTAAAAATTAAAAGAAATCAATTGCTCACAGTAAATTAAACGTAGCTTCCCTATTAAATATTTAACCAATAATTCTTTGTGATACTAATATAAATGAGTAGAAGAAAACACGAATTCAATAAATTCAGAAATGTATAGGATTAATTAGATAATCAATTTACATTATGTTGTGCAATATAAATTAAATTAGATTTATGTTCAACTATTTTGGTAGGAGTTTATTGTTGTGGTGAGATTTTTTTTTATGCGACGGCTTAAAATTTACATATTAAAAAAAAAAAAAAACAATTTATTAAAACGTAAAGATTAATGAATAAAATTTCTAATGACAACATTTTATTGTTAAATTAAAAAGACATATATATATATAACGTTGTAGTATGATTGATTTCTAACTCAAAATAAGTATAAAACGAAATAAAAATATAATATACAATCAATGTTTGAAAGGTTTTTTTTTTTAGTATGTCAGTTTTTTTAAAAATGATTCTTTAAAAGACAGGTCTTGATTGTACTCTCCGGTTTTCACTCCGAAGAAAATAAAAATAATATTTTAAAACCAAATACTTGCTTCTCGAAGAATTTCAAATACACTCACAAATAATTACCTACATAAAACTAAGAACTGTTGATTAATATATTCGAAAATTAAATATTTATAGTTTATATAATATTCCTAAATATGTAGTGATTATCCAGTAACATTGAACGTTTTATTTAAATGCAAATACTTGGTGTATCCATACGTACTACAAAAAAATAATTAATTTACACATAATTTTTTCGTAATCTCTATAAAACCCATGACAATATAGTAAGAACGGGAATACAATTAATTCTGTCCCGATTAATATACAATATCATAACATAAACTTCACTATTATATCGTTTAGTTGGCGCGATATATATTAGTATTTAATTTCAATTTTTAGCTATGCCCACAATTGTCGAAGGAAGCGATAATGTAACGATTGTCTTGTACGAAGGTGAAGATTACTCGATGACGTGCATGGGTCACGGGAGACCCGTACCCAAAATGACGTGGCACGTGACAAATGTACCCGTTTCTTATTACGATGGCAAGTACAAAGCAATAATTGGACACTTTAAGACCGTCTATAAATAATGAAACAGAATCATTATTCATATTATACAGTAGAACACATTTTAATCATAAATGACGCCTTGAGACTGATCATTTACGACGCTACGCTGAAAGATTCAAACGTTTACACGTGTACAGCTACAAATGAAGCCGGATTAACTGAAAAACACTATAATGTTATCGTTAAAGGTAAATTATTTCAAAAAACTCAATCATAAAATTGATAAATATTAATATCATCCATTTTCAATATATTTAGCTAAAACGATTGATTCGGTAGCAAACGAAACGTTAGTTGAACAAGAAATCGGTGATGTTGTACTTCATTGCCCATTGCCTAATATGACTAATCAATGGCTTAAGGTGAGATAATCATTGAAAACTTGAGACAGTGAAAATACAAAAATAATAACTTCTAAAATATATATTTCTTATGAAAATTAATTCAAGTGTTACAGTTACAGTACTATGTATATACCACGATTAATAAGAATTTTAAAATAAAATAGATTCTTCGAAAATGTAATGAATATAAAAAAACACATATCAAATTTCAATTTTACGAACTACATAATCCAAATAAACTCATCGAAATATAATATGTACCTTTGTTACATTTATCAATGTTCCTTCATTTGATTTTTATTTATTACTTTTTTATAGGTTAATACCAAACTTCACAGTTTTCAAACTATTTACTTTGTTTTAATTATTTTCACTACAAACAAAATATAAGTTCTCAAGTTTATGCATAAATTTAAAACTAAATTTATAAAATAAATACATTTATGTTGGAAATTATTAGGAGGTGAAATGTCTTAATCCTTTAATAATTGTTGAATAATATTTGGACGTGCGTTCATTAGGATGGTTCCAGTGTCAATGACTTAATTCACAAAAGAGCAGATGAGCCACATTATAGATTATTAAAAGATGGATTAAAAATCTACGATCTGGACGTAATAGATAGTGCCGTATACACTTGTATGAATTCCAATGAAACCTATACAATCGAATTAAAAGTAGCTTTTGCCCCTTATTTCATAAAATACCAGCCCGAATCAATGATGATCAAGAGGAACGAAACCGTTTTATTTGATTGTATGGCCACAGGATACCCAATACCAAGAGTAAGCTACATTTTAATCAAGTATTTTAATCTTAGGTACTAAAAAATAAATAAAAATATTTATATTTTATATTAAATACAATGGAAATTAAAAAGTCTAAACAGAATACATATTTCATTAAAATCAATTATTTTTTATAAATTAAAAATCCAAACCTGTTTTCTTAGGTTACTTTTAATCATAAATTATGACCTCTTTTTAAATAAAAGTTAATTCATAAAATTGTACACACTAAATTAAACATTGGTAACTATTTATATACATTTCAGATTACATTATGTTTTGATAGTTGGTTAGGACGTTTAGTATTGAACGTGAAATATATATTTATAAATTTATTAGTATAGTAGATAAATTATTACCTATTATGCTTTTCAGATTTTATGGAGAAAAATGGATTCATCACTGCCCATAACTCGTTGGACTTTAAAAGACATAGAGTTCTTAGAAAATAAACAAAAACTTACAATTCATTCCGTAGATTGGATACACAATGGTACTTACAAATGCATTGTCAAAAACAAGTTCGGCATAGTCAAACGCCGTTTTGACTTGCTAGTGTTCTAACACATACCTATAATTAGACAATACGTATTTTATTAGCTTTTCATCTTCCATATATTTCATGATGGCCATATTATAGTGACACATAATACAAACTATACAGAGATATCAACTGAGACCCCTAAAAAATAAGTGGTTGGGGTGGGTGTTTCTAATATTTAAACTGGGTATATACACTATAATTAAGGATCTCTGTTATACGTTTATATGTATTGCCAAGTAGATATATTTCGAAGTTCAACACGAAGACAGGATATTCAACGTGGTGATGGCGCATAAATTCTAAAACTCCAAATAATTTCGAAAAATTTTGTGCTCCATAAGTTATTTTAAACTTAATTTTATTTATTTATTCATTTGTTGATTGTAACAGCTCAAAAATAAAAATTGTTAAAATCGTTTGCGTGCGCAATTTTTTATTTATTTATAAAGTATTTATGTATTGATTCATATAAGTGACAATATATAATAATAATAATATAAAAATAGCATATAACGAAATTGAAAATCTTATTTATTACCTTTCACCACCATTATAGGATTCAACAATGTATATATATATATAAAATTAAACGTTAGAGCTGATTTTTGTGAACAATTATTTAAACCAACGACTTAATTTAGAAAACCGTTTTAATTTAACAATCAATATTATTTTTTGAAAAAAAGAAACGAAAAAAATATTTTTAAACAATTTTCGGTTTTCCGACGAATATAGTCTAAACGAAAATCGTAAAACAACTACCCCGCAGCATTCTATTGGTTGAAATTTTCAGAATTATTTTTCCAGTGATCAATACGAAATTACTATCATTGGGTTTTCAAAAGCAAATCAAGACCATTAAATTTATTTTACCGAACACATTTTAAAAGAATAGGAACTGTTTTCATTGAGGTAATATTGTTCTACTTCATTAATCAATAGCGACACGCGGTCACGACTAAAAACAATTAATTTTCCTTTTTTTTTTTTACTGTTTCTGACTTTATTAATACAATACTTTTTGAAGACAGGGTTTCTGTTTAAAACATCTATACATAATATTTTAAAACCCGATTAACTATACAATTTACGCACTGAGGCTAAACGATGTCATATGTAATAGTGGGCCGTGGAAATAGATCCTTGTTTCCTGTGAGTATATTTTGTACAACATACATTCGTCAACACACGCATGCGTAATAAATATTTTGGGAAATTTAGTAATAATTATCTGGTATACATACAGTCTCTATAGTTAACATAATAGCTCGAATTAGTGTATTTAGAATTTTTCCTAAGGGAAAGGATCTATAATCACTAATTACTCTAAGAACCAAATTTATATATTTTAGTGATCACATAGTTTAATCAAAATAATTTGAATGAGTATTAAATATTTACTTCAGTCTTTTAAGATTATCAAATATTCATAAAATACAAGAGTAATATTGTGATTGAATAATACTTATAGGAAAAATAAGAAGCACAAATGAGAATCAATTCTCATATCCAATACCCCCCCTCTCTATTATAAATACGTCATTGGAATCTCACCGCCATCAAAATTATGTTTATACCTTCTGCGGCGAACATTTATGATATTATTATGACCGTTGATTGAAAAATAGTCCATTGAACGATAACATTCACCAACGAGACGGACTCAATTTGTGACAGTTTATTAGTTTATTCTGTCATACGTATAATGAAGTACGCATTGCGGTAGCGTACCATATTATAAAAAAAAAATATTTTTCTTCGATGATCTGAAATAATTGCCATTTGGCAAAATAATAATATATAAATATGCGGTAAAACATGTTTTAAGTGGAAACATATCATTTTTTTCAATTTCATCTGAAAGAAAATATATACATTATGTAATAAGGTGACTAAAGCATTTTCATGTTTATCGTGCAGTAATTTATTATAATTTTAACAAGAACTTGAAGCGAGACATGGAAAAATGAATAAATACCAGGCTACATCTGTACATAGAAAATATATGACACACATTATATGTATTTATTATATAATCTATTAGGTCGATTTTCGGCGTAAATGTAAATGCTTATTTCTATAAAATATTAACTATTAATTTTACTCATGAAAATATAATTTAAATGTATAATTTTTTACTGAAGGTTGACGTTTTGTTTTAAATTTTTAATTTTTCGATTGATTCTTAAAAAAGTATGACCTAAAACTTTAATGAATATTAATAAGTTATATTATGCGTTTATAAGATATGATGGTTATTATATCATGCTCAAACTACGGTATATAAAAAATTTAGTGATGTACATTACTTAACAAGCTACTTAATCGTTATTTTGATAACCAGCTAATTCTATTGCCACGGCAAGTGCAACATGTCCTCCTGTTTCCCTAAATTAAGAAAATTAATTTAATTAATTTATAAAATATTGCCAGCAACACAATTAATTAGTTTAATAACAATAGGTCACGAATAATTTATGAATGTATTGTTTGTAAAACACGTTAGTGACTAAATGGAATCGAATTGCACGTGCGCTCATTATAGTGTTGAACAGCATTATTTTATATGCAATAAACACTAACCGTAAATCGTAGAGACGTATAATGTACAATTTGCAACGATTAAAATGTGTTGAATCCTTAATGTTCGATTAGAAACGTCAAAAGTGGTATTGATAATGTTAACTCTTTTTTTTACGAAATATTTAATTATTTTTTATTTTTTTTACAAAACGTTTTCAAATATATTTTTGGACTGAACCAGTACAGACATAGACAGTGGCATACAAATAGAGGGGTTTTAAAATAAATCTCCACCGGGGACTAAAAAGAAATATTCCGGCTCTTGAAATGGATAAAATAAAAAACTATAAAATAATATGGATCTGAGATGACATTTGAGATTTTCGATTCCATTGCGCGTCAAATAAAGAGTTCACGAGTCGAATCGTCGGTTTGAAAACGCAACTTGCGAGTTATACGTGAAAACGCGGACAGATTGCCATCCGCGTCGTTGACCGTCACGCATGTTACACAAACATGGTCTAGATCAGAGTGGTGCAACCCACGGCCCTCGAAGTTTTTTTTTTTTTTCGGCCCTCCTTCAAAGAAGACTGATATTGAAAAAAAGTCACGATAATATTACAACAAAATCGTTGTGCGATTGTATACTTTTTATCGTGTTTTTTGTTGTAAAACGTAGGTAGGTATACGTGCAAAAGGAGTAACGTCTGAAACCGTGATCGTATTCAGCTCACTACGTAGGTATCGTGTACGTATAGGAGCCACAGCGAATCCTAGTGGTGGGAGATCGCTGAAGTCGTTACTATTAATATAGTAATTATTAAGCGGCTAGTATTGACCGCAGGTCTTACTGGATAATAATAACACGTTTTGTTTTTTTTTTTCTCGGCGGCCCTTGGTGTTTTTATAAAAGTGTAAATCGGCCCGCCCAACCCGCATAGGGTTGGACCATGCCGGGTCTAGATGAAGTTATTCGCCTACTTGTATTCATTACGAACCGCGCGGGGCGTCCGAGATGGCCGGAAAAATACGCGCCGGGTGTTATTGTTATTTTTTCCGAATCGGCGGCTGATATCGTTATCGATAACACAACTTCCTCGTTACGCTACTACGCGTTGATAACCTATTCCGCTGATAACGCGTTCTCGTCGAAACAATAATGATAGCAACACAACAACGACTGCGGTAACACTCGGACGGACTTCGGCCACCCTAATAACACCAATAAAAAATGATTATAGCGCATTAAAGCTGCGAGCGAACGGTACCGGTTCGTTGCAACGTGATCATGGTAAACGTTTTTCAGTCTCGCTGGGGCACTTCAACGCGTCGCCCGTAGATTTCGATTTCTCACACGTCGGTGGACGGTGTACCGTTTATCTTTTCCCCTCCTACCCGTCAACGGCAATATTATGTAAGTTCCGTCGATGAGTTATTGACGTCCAAACGCGACGATAACGCGTTCGAATAGCATTTCCACCAGGTCGTTTCGTTTTATCAGTTATCGTCGCCGATCAGTCGTTCGAACGAACGTTCCTGATATGCTTTTCGGCGCGTGCCTAACCGTTTGCTGTGCGGCTTGTAGAACAATTTAACTGTCTTATTATTTTAACATAACGCACAACAAAACGGTGTTCACGATTTTTAACGATTAAATTAAATAAATATTGTGATTTCGTTTCGTTCAAGGGTTATACTGTACAGCGCTCCTTCTAGAAGAGTTCTTTCTTATCGCACAATTTCAAATTACATATTCAAAAACCGATTATCGACATCGGTTAATATGAACCCGGACATAAAAGAAAAATTTAAATTACCTTCTCGTCATGAAGCTGGTGTATACAATGTATGGTAAGTGCATCTTACCCATTAATGATTTGTTTATGTAATTAAATATTCCATAATCCAACTATATGAGCATAAACATTTTTTATATACGTATAATGTATGTATCCGTCTTTATGTAAATTATTTAAATAAATTTAATCTATGATTAAAAGCACAGTAAATTATGATAATATGACATTAAGGAAAGTATTCAAAAATAATTTAAGATTTTTATATATAGTTACTGTTGTAGCGTGCTGAGTACACAATGTTGAGATGTGAGAATATTTTATACAAAATTAATAGACTATCAAGAATATTTGTGAAGGTATAACTAATATTTATTAATAATTAACATCAACATAGACAAAATAAACTGATAATAACAAATATAAACTGAGCGTATATTCAGGACGACTGGATATGTTTGAAATTGAAGTATAATGATATGTAGTACATTAGACTGTAGAGAAAAGTATACTCAATAATGTTTTTATTATCAATAATAATTCCAGGGAACTTTATTTTGTATGTTGGTATTTATTTTTATAGTTCTCCGTGTAAATGAGAAACCAAAAAAAATTATTTTGTATTATATATTATTATTCATCATTTTGCTTGCTTTTTTATTTAAATCAAAATAAAATAAATCTATAATTTAAAATTTTAAAAATAATAATTAGTTTTTACAACTTATAATTTGGTTTTATAAAGTGTTAGTATTCAGTTGACAAATTATTTTATTATGCTTTTTATATAAAACTAAAACTTACATATTTAATTGTTACAGGATTGAATTCACCCAATTAGCTGCGACTACAAAATGCTTAAATTTGGGTCAAGGATTTCCAGATTATGACCCACCATCAAAATTTTCAAATTTTTTAGCTGAGGTGGCTACTGAAAAAAATTCATATTTCAATCAATATACACGAGGATTTGTAATACATAGAAATTAATACTAGATCTAATAAAATATACTAAAATTATATAATTTATTATTTAAGGGTCATGTACGTTTAGTTAAAGCATTATCCAATTTATATTCTACATTACTTAATCGGAAAATAGATCCTATGAATGAAATATTAGTAACAGTTGGTGCATATGAAGCACTTTACTGTGTCATACAGAGTAATATAGAAATTGGAGATGAAGCAATTATTATAGAACCATTTTATGATTGCTATGAACCAATGATACGAACTGCCGGAGGGACACCTAGATTTATTCCTCTAAGAAATGTTAGAATTTAACCAACTAATATTTAGGTAAATATAATTAATTAAAACTAATATTCAAACCATTTTTTTAGACAAAGCCCAATGCTAAGGTATCTCATTCAAGTGATTGGAAACTTGATCCAGAAGAATTAGCATCGTTGTTTAATGCCAAGACTAAACTCATAATTATCAACACACCACACAATCCATTAGGAAAAGTATTTGATTATGAAGAGTTGAATATGATTGCAGACTTGGCCAAAAAACATAATGTACTTGTTATTTCGGACGAAGTTTATGAATGGTTGGTGTATGAACCAACCAAACATATTAGAATTGGTAGTTTAATTTTTCCTATATTTTATTCATTAAATTCTATACTTAATAATATTAATAAATATGAGATATATGTAATAATATTTTTTTTTATGTTTTAGCGTCACTCCCAGGTATGTGGGAAAGAACTATTACGATTGGATCTGCAGGAAAAACATTTAGTATGACTGGTTGGAAACTCGGTTGGGCGTATGGTCCAGATTATTTGATTAAAAATGCATGTGTTGTGCATCAGACTGCAATTTATACGTGTGCAACGACAGTTCAGGAAGCAGTTGCTAGAGGGTTTGAACATGAAATTAGTGTTCTTAATACATCAGATAGTTATTTTCAAAATATGTCTAAAGAATTAAAACCTAAAATGCTATATCTTTCTAATGTATTACAAGAAAATGGCTTTACACCAGTCATACCAGATGGAGGATATTTCATGATATCAAATTGGACCAAATTCGGTTGGTTACAATTTTTTATACATTACATGTAAAATATTAAAATAATTTTATATATTATATTGTTATTTTTATAGAAAATAAATTAGATTTAAGCTCAGAGACTGATAAATACAAAGACTTTAGGTTTGTAAAATGGTTTTCCAAAAATGCTAAACTACAAGGAATACCATTTTCAGCTTTTTATTCTGAAAAACATAAATTTATGGCTGAAGATTATCTACGGTTTTGTTTTTTTAAGGTAATTATTGATTTTTACTATATATAGTTAAAATTTTAATTATAATCTATTTTATCAAACAGAGAGATGAAACATTGAAGAAGGCTGAAAACATTTTATCTTCATGGACGAAGAATATATCAGAGTCCAAATCTAAAATCTAAATTTCTTGAATTCATATAAAAACTATAATGATTTAATTCTGTTAAGTTTTTTCTTTTTGTTTGATTTTTCTTATAATTATTCAAATATGTTAAAACCTAGAAATTATAAATGGTGTTCTTGATACTATATCAGTACCAAATTATGTAAAAAAAAGTATTTTCTGTTTTATGCATTGTGTTTAAAATAGAATATTTTTGATTTAAAACAAATAATTCTTAGTCGTAATAAATTTTTACAATGTGTAAATTTAAAATTATTTTGCAATTTAATTAGATGGAGTTATACAATGAAACAGATGGCTATTATTTATGTTATCCTTGAACTAGAAAGATACATATAAAATTATGTAACATCTTAGTCCATTCCAAGCCCTGAACTAATTTATTAATATATTCATGTTATAAGTAATAGTTACCTTATTTGATGTTAAATTATTAATTATAAGACTTACTTATAATACACTTAATATACTTATTACACTAAGTGTATGTAACTCAAAGTTGTATGTTTAATTTTATTCATGTTTTAAATTTTTAGAATTTTATCATTGTTATGTATTGAATAGTCTATTTTCAAAATAAATAAGTGTTTAATTAAATTAAATAACCAATTTTAATTTAACGCTTCAAAGTATACCAACCCATTGTAAAATATGTATTTAAAAAAAAATGGTCATTTAACTTTATACTTTTAATTTTACAATTGTTGAATTGATTGGAGAATATTTATTTAGTTTTTTAATTATTAATATCTACAAGATGGGAAAGTACAGTGGTTTATAATACTTAATAACTAATAATCTTGTATAAAAATAAGATTTACCAAAATATTTGCAATTTTAATGGGTATATATATTGGTATTTAGGTATCATTATATAACAGGCAAGCAAAATATTAGTCTTGATATTCGCATGATTTCAAGAACTGAAAAACATGGAAACTAAATTTATTTCTAGAATTAAAAGAAATGACTTTAAAACAGTGGTTTATGATCTCTAAAGAGATCGCCAATAGTTTAACACAAAATTAAGAATTTATGTATAATGTGTATTATTTTATATAACTTTAGATTTGTATTTTTTTTTTTTTTTTTATGTTTTTTATTAAACAAAATATATTAAAATAGCTTAAAATATATAATTTAATTCATATGAATAAAAATTTTCTATACATTATGTAATATATATTATACACTTACATAATGTTGTTTGAAATGGTTGCCCTTTCATAATAAATAATAAAAATAATAAATTAATTTGAGGGTTGATAACAACTCAGAAAAGCTTTTAGTAATCTGATATGATTTTATAATAGTAATGAAAATCATATTTAAATAATATTATGTAAACATTGTTTATATGATAAAATACTGTTTATTAAACAGTTGGTTTTGAAAAGGAATTTATTATTTATGTGAATTATAAAAAATAAACATTACGATATAGGATGAAATATATTTTTATTTAATTAACACTCAGCTACTCGTGTTAACTAAGCATTTTGTATCGGAAAACTCTAATATCTATTCATGCATTCCTATTAAATTTTATGTATGCCTATTGAAATATATATAATACATAGGATATATTATATACTCAGATGGATAATGCTGAAACCATCCAACTTTTCTTTTTTCAATCCTATTCCCTGATTAGTTTAAACCAGTGATATACGTGCACTCGTTGAATATTATGTTTGACATTAGTTTTTAAATCTTCCAAACAGCTAAAATTAAGTATGAAACATTGTGTAACAGTTTATAATTAATCAATAAATTTAAACGATTTGGTTTTTTAGTCATTACATCTGAACTAAGCTTTTGTTTAAAAGAATAATGGTATTATTTATATATTTTGCAATAATTTGAAATCGTCATATTTCGATTCCTTACTAACCTACGATCAGGATCAGTTGCTTTCACATGCGAATAACACACACGATTAGCACCGGGAAAAAATGTATTCGGAATTGAAATCGACTAGTATAGGTGTAGTTTACAAATATGGTTCTACGAGTGTTGAGTAGTGCGTTAAACATTCGATACGAAACCGGGATTCGAATTTTTTTACGAACAATATAAAAAATGTGGTTTATTTTTAAAAATGTATTTTTTTTTGATTTTAGGCGGTCCTCGCGCGCACGGTCGCAGCAAACGTTACGGCTCGAGGGTCACGTAATCCAGACGCGTCCTCGAAGGACGACGACCGTCGGAACGCGGGACACGATTCGAAACGCGTATACCGCCGGTCGGCGGTGTCGGGCGTCCACGATTGCCGTGGTTCAACGGTAGCGGTACCGATCGGCCAATAATTGCGAAACGCTGTCGTGGCCCACCATCCGTATCAGATGGTTGAACACGCATTTCGTGTACAGCACGTCCACGACGGGATCGTGCAGGTACGTGATGTCGTGCCGGACCGCGCACACCATCGAATGCGCCTCGGACAGCGACAGCATGCGGCCGTTCTTGTCGAACCGGCCGATGTATCGAGCGCACATCAGCTGATTGGTGCCGTAGTCGATCAGCTTCAGCAGGTAACGCTTGTCGCCGTGCTCGTCGTACGCGGTCAGGTTCACGATCATCGGGCAGTCCACGCGCAGCCGCCTCATGATCTCCACGTCGCTCGACCCGTTCCACAGCACCAGCACGGGACGTTGCCGTCCGCCGCCGTGCATGTAATCGGTCACGTACTCCGGGTACAGCGTCGTGGACCTGCGCGACGTCCGCACGCCGATCTCCAGCTCGCAGAGCAGCGACCGCAGCAGCTCCGACTTCCGGCGCATCGTCCTCTTCAGATGTCTGACCAACTCGCGCTCGTCGCTCGGGTCCAACCGCAGCGCCCTTTTGCTGCGCGACAGCACCAGCGGATAGCCCCGGAGCTTGACCACCGGCGAGTCCATCCGGTGATCCGACATCGCGCCCGATATCAACACCAGACTGTTCCGGAACGACGTGAACTCGAAGTCCATGACCACGAACCGGTACCTGTTCCTGTGCAACGCAACACATTTATCTCGTTTTAAGGATTGGGCCCACGGCACTACGGTTTTATCTGTCCGCCGTCTACGGGGTACGGTGTGCTTCGAACAACACCGACCGTTTCATTCGAACGCCGAAATCGATCCCACATTACATTTATTTTTCTTCAGTTTCCCTATGGACGCTCTAGTTTCCGCATATTACGGCTCCTGTTTTGCGTACCGCAAATTTAACTTTATCGGCTACTGCCTTTAGTCCTTAAAACTAAAGAGAAAATGGACTTAAGATTGGCTACTGAAAATATCTGAAAACTGTGTGCGGTCTTAGTTCGAACACCGGGTATGAGCATACACTTTTGGTTTTCTTCATTTCGAACACCGAACACCAGGTGTGTACTGACCCACCGGGGTACCGGGAAAACGTCCTCTTAAAAATTATAAGACTTGGGCCCACTACCAAAAAGATACCTGTAGTTTCAGTTAAATTCAATAATTTTATTATTTTTGACAATTTTAATTGAATAATTGAAAAGAGAAAATTAAAACCTACATAAAGGAAGAATCATAAATTTCGTTGGTTAGGTATTTACTGATATGGCAATTTTTGATGTACTATAACTACTAACTTTGATCGTGTTTAACTATTTTATACTTATACGTATATTCATCGAGAAACAAATATTTTTTATTTAGAATTCTAGTGAATTATAATAAGAGCACAAAGTGGTATGCGAGTACACGGTATATCCTGACTGTTTCCGTTTATAATAAAGTTATTTATAAATTACTTGGATTACCCAATAATTAACAACGATAATTTTGTATACTCTCAAGAAAATGATAATAATAATATGTACAAGAAAAAAAATGTAATTCACGTTTATTATGCGTAACAAATTTTATTTATGATTTCAATATGTATTCTCTAGAGCAGGGATGGCGAACCTTTTTTGATTCAAGAGCCAAATTTTTTCTTTAAGGTTTTCAAAATCGTTCACGTGCCCAAAAAAAAATTATATTTTCTAAGAATATTAAATTATTTTTATTAAATGTTAGTCATTCTTAGTAAAACATAAGCAGCAACAATTGTTTCATCAGTCAAAACATTTTTTCCTTCGATTTAATCAAATTTGCTATAGCAAATAAGCTTTCACAAACATAATTTGATGAAAAATATGAAAGCATGAGGATAACTGTAATTTTTAAAACATATATATAATTTATTACTTTGAATTCCTTATAACCAACATTTTATAAATAGTATAATTTTTTTTACATGTAGAATTTTTAATAATTTCAATTTTTGCGGGTGCCTTTAAAATGTAGTCAATGTACTATCTTTGGTACGCGTGCCATAGGTTCGCGACCTCTGCTTTAGAGTATAATGCATTATTTGAAATTTACAAGTTTTTTTTTAATAATTCCTCTTACTCAAGTAACGTATGGACGATAGTTTTCAAAACTTAAAATTATAAAAATACGTTTAATAAGTTGTTTAACACAAGATAATTTGGAATCATTGTTTTTGATGAACTGTGAAAGGGAATTGTTGTCCAACATTACCCCGGCTCAAGTAATTGATTTAATGTGTGAACAAAGTACAGAAATATTAAGAATGTTGAAAGTTTAGTTTTTAAACATTTTACTGAACTATTTGTATATTATTTTACTTGTATTGAACTATTTTTAAGAACATACTATTCATATTTTATAATTTATACGAGGTTTCACAATTTATTTTTAATTTAAAATTTATTTAAGATCACTTAAATAAAAATAATTATTTTAATATTGTTGTGTATTTATTTATTTTTATAGATCTTAAATCAAAATGTAAAAGTGGGTTCCTATTTAGGTTTATGATTATTTTATAGTTTTGTCTTAGTGTAAGAAATGGGTAGATAACCTGCCTATTGTTATAGATAGGTATACACGAGACACATTTCTATTAGTATGTATAGTAAGTGGTCTTTAATTATATCCAGTTTTCCGGTAGGGAAAATAGATCCAGTACGCGCTTGCCGAACACTGTAAAAAAAAATCGAACTCCTTAGTTTTTATTTTGTTTCCGCGTACGGTGTATGCATCAGTTTTATTACCCACCAATATCGGAGTACATTGTTCGAACTACACCAACACCGTACACGGACAAATAAAACCGTAATGTGAGGTCCAATGTTCGAATTGGAAAAAAATGAGTAGAAGAGTTCAGTCCAACGATTTAAAAACTGCGTTCCATGTGCATAATTGTTTAACGTAGAACCGTGGGGGGTTTCGTCCCCACACTACCCTCTACCGATGGCTAGTACCGAATTGATTCCCGAGCTCCAAACCGACATGCCGAATTGGTTCCCGTCTAAAAAAGGTATTTTATTAGGTATAGCCGAGTAGGTTCCCGTTTGAAAAAGGTATTTTATTAGGTATAACCGAATTAGTTCCCGTTTAATTACGTACATTTTTCTTCTAATTTTACAGGCTTAGGGCTGTCAACTTTAAAGTAGACTTGGTAAAACATTTGCGTTA